ATAAATTTTAATATAACTAAATTAAAAAATTTTAATATAAAAATTAATATAAATCTTAATTAATTTTAAATATATTTAACATTAAATTATAATCCTTAAAATATTCTATTTATTCATTGATTTTATCTTTTATTTTGCATAAAATTTAAGATTCTAATTTTCACCACGTACAAAATATATGTATATATATATATATATATATATATATATATACTTACTAATTAAAAAAAGATAAAAAATATAAAAAGGATTAAATAGTATTTTTTCTTCAACCTTGATATTTTTCAATATTTTCTAATATTTTTCTCTCGAATCATTTATTTTAAAAAAAAATACTTATTTTTTGGTGTTTATAACTATGAGAATTAATATTACTTCAATCCAAATAATAAATTATTTCAAATCTTTAATAACCTTACTAGCCTTCAAATCTCTAATTGTAAATACTATAATATACTTGAATTCTAATAAATCTTAATGTAATTATCTAATTCATTTCAAATACACAAAAAAAATCTAATACATCTAAAATCACAAAGCCACAAAATTTCATTCATAGATTTACAATAAAACTAACAAAATTCTATAAAATGAAAAAACCAGAGTTTCTAAAATCTAACCTTGACATTACATAGCTCTTAAAAGGTCATTATAAATTTAAAATCCTTCAAATTATTGCTCATTAAAATTTTCCTTAGTCTATTCTTTGAATTTGCTCTTTGATGTAATAAAAAAATATTCTACATGCCATAGAGATGCAATTTTGTGCCTTAGAATTTAGTTTCAACCATAGTTCACAATCAATCTTCTTTGGGTATCAATCCTTGGATTTTACAAATAATTTTGGTTGGATACTATTCTTTATTTTCATCTAAAGATACTTATTGTGATATTTTTGATAATCTATCTTGTTTTGCCTTATTTGTGGTCATATAAAATAAGTAGAAGTATTTTTAATAAAAAAGTAACATAAACTAAAATTTCTACTACCTTATTATTTTTAATATATGATTCTCAAGTAATTTTTAAATATTTTCAAAAGTAATTTTTAATAAATCCTTTCAAGTTTATTTGTCTTCATATACTCTTTTATCTAATAGTTGGATTATGACATGATAACAATATTCACCTAAAAAGAACTAGTACACATATATACATACACATACATATGCAAACAATAGCATAAATTATAAATATCAAAAGTAGATAAGAAAAAAAATCTAAAATATATATATATATATATATATATATATATAAGAATTATATTAAATGGATTTAAGCACAAGCAATATAATAAGAAGGGAGAATAAAAAAAAAATGCAATGCATATACCATGGTAGATAAAAAAATTATAATACAAAGCACAACATGGAGTTGGGTTGGCATTAGACAAATGTATGTGAGCTAAGTAAAGAAAAAACAAATTTTGACCAAAAAGAAGACTATTGCCACAACAAATATAAGAGTATAAGAAATTATAAGCACCTATGTGTATATTTGTAAGAGCATAAAAATTCTAAATTCTAAATCCTTAATGTACAAATAATCTATGTTCTTGTTAGATCCACATCTATTCATTCTAAATTCTAAATATAAAAGAAAAAGATAGAATTTTGTTGATACCTTTAGATTTTGATAGTGATACTCATGTCAAACTAATATGAGTTTTATAAGGTGAGGATGTAAAAATCATTATTAAATAGAGTGGTTGCAAAAAACTATACATCATTGGATATGCTTGTTTCTAAAAAAGAAAAATTTAGTACAGTAGCACTATACTCAAGCCAATCCAACTACCAATTTGTTGTCTTCCTAAGATTCATGGATATGGATTACAACAAGAACTTGACAAAAACTTGGACTATGTGCATCTTCTTATTAAAAAAAAAAAAAAAGAAAAAAGAAAAAAAAAGGTGGGAGGTAGAAGCTATAGTTTCACTAGAATTGATTGTCGGAGCTTATCAATACAAATAAAAATAAAATAAAATAAAATAAATCTAAAAAAAAATCTTGAAATCAAAACAAAACATGTGACTCATTCCAAACATAATATCATTTCTTTTGCTTCTTTTTAATAGAGCTATTTATTTTTTGAAGCAATGCAATTTATAGAACCTCATAAATTATGCACTAAAAATATATCATAATGATTCACTTAATTTTTAAACCTTATGCAACACATTATGTGAAGAAAACACAATGTAACAAAGCATTAAAGTTACTATAAAGTTGTGGATTTTCACTTAATTTCTCACTTAATAATTCTACAGATATTATAAAAAATTATCTTTCTTTTTTATTAATTATGTAAATAGCATGGTTATAAATTTATTTCATAGACACAACCTCCATTCCAAAAAAATATTATCATTTAAGCAAGGACTATTAGTTGAAAGATAAAAATTAGGTGGGATATCATTGTATATATATTGTTAATTGGAATACAATAATTCTTTAATTAACAAACACATTACTACTAAAATTGATATTCTTTTACAAACATGAGATATAATGAATCTGCAACCTATATGATATGATGTAATATATTGATTCTAACATGCAAATTTGATTAGTCAAACATCTACTTTAAATTACTTTTGAAGAAAGTAGGCTTATTACTACATCTCACCTGACATCATGGCACAACAATTGACCTTTCTAAAATATAATCACAAGATTAGATATTATTTGATTGTTGATTGAGTCTTTTTTTGGCAATCAAAACAATATTATACATCTTTTAGTAATATTAAGAGAATTTAGAATTGGACTACTTATTTTCTTAATAAACTAGTTACAAGTTTTTAACATTGGATCCATAAAGATATAATTACATAAACCAAAAACAAAAAATCTAATTTTTATTTACTTATTTTATTGTGAGGTATAACATTTTTAACTTGATTTGGTCTTTGTTGAAAAAGATACATTTATGAACCATGTAGATTCAATGCAATTCAAGAACCTCTGATTGGGGAAACGTGGAATGATGTGAAGATATGGAAACTATTATGATTAGGATCTTTGACCACGACAAAACCATGGGGGAAAACTCCAAGCTATTTAATATATGTATATGTATATATATATATATATATATATATATACATGTATGAATAATTATCTAAGAATATATATATATATATATATATGTATATATATATATGTATATATATTCTTAGATAATTAATCCTTAAATATATAACTTGTTTATGTCCCTTGATTATCGCGTCATTGTGTGTCTGTTCCAAAAAAGCATTGTTATATGTTTGGTCCGGTCCAGTGGATCAGGGAACAAACGGGGGACGCCAACAGCCACGTCACTCGCACTGTCATGGTCACCAGCATCCGACGTGGAAGTGGGATTCTTTTACTTTTTATAAAGCCTCGATCTGGGCAGGAGCAAACATCGGCGTCGCAGCAGCGGGCAGGGCAGGGATAGAAAAAAAACATAAAGCAGCGTCGACGCCGTCGTCGTCGTCGTGGGCATTGGTGACGATGGAGCCACACAAACTTCTACTCCTTCGCCTCGCTCTCTCACCTCTCCGTGTGAGAGTGCGTGGAGATGTTCGTGTGGACCAGAATAGAAATTGAGCGCTGATGCATGCGAGCTGACAATGGTGCTGCAGATGGGGATCCAGCACCCTGCGCGCCGCTTCATCCCAGGCCCTTCATGTGTAAAGCGTGGTGGGCTGTCGACAGTGAGGATAAATGATGCAGTGGCGGATCGGCACACGCTCGTGATATTCCGTTTCTGGATCCCATATCGCCCTCGCCGCACCTTCGATCCTAGGTCGATGTCCCACTCCGAGGTTGGGTTCTCATGCGACCAGGAAATGCCCCCGGCCGAGTGAGGCATGTGCCATGACAACTCATGAAGCTTAAACGCGCAACGCGACGAGGTCACGACAGTGGAGGGATGTGCAGCGGCTACCCCAGAGCGGATTCCGGATCTCTGTTTGAGGTAGTGGTGTTATCATGGGTGGTGACCGCGTTCCCGTGCGGGTGGTCGACGAATATGAAGTGTGTCCCACTCTGCGGGACGCGACAGACTGGTCCGACAGGTTGGTACTAGAGCTGGAGACTTTAACGGTGAACTCCTAACGGCTGCTTAGAATTCTGATATCTCCCTCGTGCATGAGCAGTTTCAGAACAATCCTCAGCTTGTGTTGAACCACCCGTTGAGCTACAACGTTGTAGTTAAGTAGCGTCAGGCTCTTCATTCGATGGCCGCAACATAACATTGCACGATGCCGGGAGCAGAACCTCTGATGGTCATATCCACTTTCGGGGAGTAGCGATGTATTAAAGAGAAAAAGAGAAGAAAAGAAGTAACGGCGATTAAAAGCACTTTAAATGCTTTTTGGATATTTATTATTTACAGTTGGTTTTTGATGTGATCTCAAATACGTCGGACACATGCAGTATCTTTTGAGAATATACGTTTGGATTTAGCGTGAGATTCAATTTGTCCAATGCGGTAATTCCTTGGAATGTTAAGCTAACGTGATGCTTTGGGTAAAATAAACATAGCGTGTATTCAGACATACAAAACTCGCGAGAAAACGAAGGAGGAAATAGGTGAAAGACTTGAGTGAGTCAATCACCAAAAAGAAAAAAAGAAAAGAAAACATAGGCAGAAATAACTCGTTTTTATAAAGTCAGATTGTTTGAAAGTGTAAGCAAACTTGAAAAGGACCTCCGCTCGGTGACATTCATATTATTCCACGAGACTCAAGACAGAAGAGAATCCGAGAGCCTTAGGTGACAATGGTCATGATGACTGTAGTTTACTATTTGATGCTTACTTCAAAAATGTCTTGAAGAGAGTGTCTACTTCAAGATGCTTTCTTCAGCAGCAGTTGAATTTTCACCAACAAATGACGATGTGAAAAGCAGTTGACGACAGTTCCGGCCACTGCAAAGCAACACCATGCCCTCCTTGGGATGCGCACAAACTATATTCCGTTTCCTTTTCTTCGAGATAAAACCGGAAGGTTAACGGAAATGCCACTAGATCTGTCTTAGCAAACGTGCACGCAATTAGGTAATGTCCAGGCTGGAGTGAACTAAAATGAACTCTTCAATACATGCTCTGGATCTGTACTTGGGTGCACTTTGCCGATCACCCCTGATGCGCCAGTCTGCACATCTCATCGTTAGGGTCCATTTCTGTAGGAGACAGGGCACCTACTCTTAGCACGATGTGGGACGGATTGAGTCTTATTAGCGCTTTTTTGGCCTAGGGGTTGTATCCTGAACATGGGAATGGGGAGCAACAGGTGGACATGGTGGGCTTTTCGTTAACCCATTTATGTTCTGTTGGGGTGCAACCTTCTGGCGTCCTCGCTTGGTTACCGCATCGACCATGCAATAAGTAGCAAATTTGGAACGCAGTGTGCTGTAACATGCGCGGATTCCTTGTCTCCAGTCTCAGTTACCAGCTCCGTTTGCACTACAAGCCTTATGTTCATCTTCAAAAGTTTCTCATGGCTTCTTCTTTTTTCCCTTTGTATTTGCTTTTTGGCTCTTGGCATCCGTTGACCAATTTGAACTAGAGCAATCGGTTGTTGTAGTCTATATTCTTCATGTACATCCTATACCGTAATCGCAGCAAACTATTTTGTTCAGGAACTTGCCCTAGGAGAGTGCGCTGCTTAGCTGGGTGGAACTTTTCGAAGAGTTTTTTGATTTCCTCTCCGGAACGGTTTGATATATATGTTCTTTGATCATAATCTCACTGTGTTGACAGCTGATGCACGTTAACATGGACGTGCTTCTCTTTGTATTAGTAGCAAATGTCCAGCCAAGGTTGTCGAATTGATTCTCAGCTATCAACTTCTGTGCTCCTTGCCTGTTCTACTGTTCAATTCGGGACATCATGTCTGTGAAACCGTGCTTGTATTTGTTTTAAGTTTTCAGGTGAATGGTAGAGATTCATTAAGCTATAACGCATGTCTCTGAAAAGTCATGCTTTCACCTTACGAAGATATCATTATCTGTATTGAAGCAGGATCTTAGAACCTCCAAACTGCAGAAATTGAAAAAGGATTGCTCCCACTTCGCATGGTCCTGAGCGGCTTGCATACTGCCTAGTGGAATACGCATGCAAACGGATAACCGACTGTATTGCTTAGGGAAATCAATCCCAATTGATCATGGCACTTAGAGCTAAGATCTCGTAATATTGATTCCGAGAGCAATTGTAGTTGCGCTTGTGATCGGATATTGAAGTCTTTTCATACACACACAGAACTATATATATATAAGTATAAATGTATGTATGTTTGCAGTATTTTATGAAAAGGGTGTTTTACGTTTTTTTGCAGGTGTCACTTTGGGTGTCGAAAGCGTTGGGAGGTTTTAAAGCTCTGTCGCTCACTTACATCTTGGAGTACTGCATCTTCACATTCGTCAGATTTTTCTATCTGTTGTCATATCCCCGGAATTTTGAATCAGGTACATACCTAGCATCTTCAGATAAGCACGTGATCACGTTCATACGGATCAGTCGCTAACTCTCTTACGGAGAGCATAGTGTGGTTTGATAACAGTGGTGCAGAAGCTCTGCGAAGTTGAAGATGCAGCACTACAAGAAGTGCGTGAGCGACGGGCTATATGAAAGACATGCTGCCGTTTGCGCTTAACTGCATAAACACTGCTTTTGGTTCCAGCATCTGCCTTCGGCATTGTCTCAGACTCGAAGATGCCAATTCAGCACCCACCGGTTACTTAATTCCGTTGTGCGTAGATGCCCAGTAACATTATTGGGTTCAGGAACTGAACAGACACTGACAAAGTTGTCAACGCCTCAAGGTTGGGAGGACCGCTGATTTGGGTCTTGACACTCAGTTCAATCCAGCAGCTTGGCAAACTCTCTCAATTCCCCCCCCACCTGGTCAGTCATCCATGGCGGCGTCAAATCGTAGGTTCATCCACACTGCTGCAGTGCATCGTTTCTCCTTCTCTACCAATCTCCTTAGTACTTATACATAAACAAGAGCCAAGTGTGTGACCAATGTCCTGGTCGCTGAGTGGCGTGACTGATCTTTTATTCTTCTTCTGTTTTTTCGAATTCTTAGATACGCAGTTTACTGTAACTGGCACAATAATACATCTATATGGAAAAGTGTTCGTTGACGTGCCGGGATTCGTTTGCTGGAGCGCTTTGCGGATGGGGTAGGTCACATGGTCCCGACATCCACGACACGCTAAATACGCTGTCGACTAGACAAACTTCGCTAGCAGCTGAATAGAATATTTTTGGACTCCTTAAACTTAGCAACAGCCGGATTGGAAAGCCTTAACTATTGCCTCGATCAATTGGGCTATAACTGTGGTTGCTAAGTCCCGGGTTGAAGTCTGCGAAGGAGTTGTATTTAGGATGTAACATGGAGCCTACGTGACTCGTTCAGGTACATGTAATCTACAGGAAGTAGAATAACACATCCTCTTGGGTCTGCAGTAGGATCAGAACCTTTCACTGTTTGTTCAGTTACCACCAATGAGGAACGTAGATTATTGAGTTGTGAATGGGAAACATCAAGAAGTAAGTTCTTAGAGGTATACGGCTAAATTTGTTGCAGTTCATTTTTTACATATTAGATTGCTGTTCAGGAAATCCGTTCACGTGATTCTCAAGCAACTGCATTTTAGTAAAGATGGCTTTTTTGACCTTCCACATTGCACGATTGCCACTATTAACTATATATGTCACCGGAGATCCATGACAATTGCTAGCAGCCAGCACATCAGTCATGAAATATTACTTTGCGGCAGCAGCATCTCGCCTTGACGAATTCGTATCGTGCGTCGTACGCAACGGGAACCTTCGATGGAATGTAGGACCATAGACCTAGCTGACGCAAGCATTGTACATCAATTAATATCCCAAAAGTTTTCTTTTTCAAGCTGGTTAAGAAGTTGGTGGACACAGCAAAGTTTGGTTTTGTATCTAGAACTCAAAATATAGGATTAACCAACCATTCATAACTTAGTGACACAACATACTTACACTTAATTTTCTGTGAAACAGCATGTATCGGGTCATTAAGATATATAAGGTGGGAGGTGGGAGGAAGACTGTCTTCAGATCATGGTGCATAGCCTCGTCCACCGATCCTTCTGCATCGAGTCTTATCGTCTAAGCTACGATGTTTGGACCTAGCTGTAAGTCTCTCAACATTTCACGAAGTGCTTCTGCAATTATTCGTTTGGGATTCACCGCACGAATTTTATACGTCTGCGCATACTTCAATTCGACAATAAAGACGGATATGCATGTTTGTGTGCTCCACGCGGGCAAACAGTCAGATCATGCATTGTGTGTGGTTGTCACCGGAATAAGGACCTAGCATGCACAGTGGAGGAAATTGAGCAGATTCATAGACTGTACACCAAAAATTCTTATATCCTGCGCGAGGAGAGGCATCAAGAAAGGATATCATTCTGAAATTTTAATATTTTCAACCATTTTGAAGGCACTGTTGAGATTGACGTACAGCATCGATCCTGAGGTTCAGTATAGTTTAGAATCCTCACGATCGGAAAGGGTAGTGAGAGTTTCCTCTCGGACTGCAGATGTCGGGTCCCAATTAGCGTCGAGAACTGGAGGTATCTTTCTCGGTACAGGACAAGTAATTACAGACTGAACACCCTATGTATTTACCCGCTGATGCAGAGTCCTCTTCGCCTCCCTCGGGGAATGCGGTATGTCTCAGCTCTTGTAATTGGCATTCGATTGATAGTTATTCCATGTCACAAACTCATTAATGGAAAAGTAATTATCTGCCGGATTTTACTCAAAATCCATATGCTACGATTTCTCCCATCAATCTTAAACTTCTTCTCTACCAACGAACATCAACGTCTTCCTGTGTCCGTATGCTCTTTGTTCAATATTTCTTATATGGTCCACAATCCATCAGAGACTGCAAGACAAAATTTGTGAGAAAGTGTGTACTGAGTTTCCTCTGCAGGAGAACTTCGTGAATAGCAAAATTTTTTGACATTAGGTTTCCATTCGAATTCCGACTTAGTTTCCAAATGATCTTGAACATATTGTACCAATAAGTCAGTTTGTGTGTACGCAATATGTCAAATTCATGTGTCCTGAAGATTGGGAACACAATTCCAAAATAATTGGTACTCCACTGTTGACACAGAGAAGACGACACATGACTCTAGATTCCGGGGGGGAACAATAGAATTAACCAATTCGGAGTGACTAAACTGTCTGAGATTCCATGCGTTTTTTCAGATAAGGTTAAGAGATCAAGTCACGCCAATGCATTCGAATCACCTGAGTTGAATGCTTTCAGAAGCACCAATGCGAAGACTGGTCTGGACCACTTCTTCACACACGAGTTTCTCAACGTTAGCTTAATTACCGGAGCCTTGGTGAGAAACTGTCATAGCCCTATTCACTACGCTGTACACCTCTTCTGCCCTTCACCGAATAAGCACAAAACAAGCCATGCGGACAAACACCAGCTCACACAATCATACAGCTACACTGTTGGAACAGCTCCCTTGAGTTGTCGCGACTGTCATCACTACATGCCATCGCTTGAAATCAAGATTGTCTACCACATACACACACGATTCTCATCATACAATGACTTGGCCTTCGGAAACGCAGTTTAAAGTGAGTCAACACTGACAAACTGCCTCCTGATAGCCACACAAGCGTTCCAGTCGTCCTACCACAAGCGGATCAGTCTCAGCTTCTGGACGATTCAACAGAGCATGGAGGACCCTCTCCGTCTCATGACTGCCAAAACTGTGACACTCTCACCATGGCAAATGTTCTGGAAACGACACAGCAGATCGTCAAGCTGGATGTGGCCTGCACAAACGATTAATCAAAGGGGACCCATGTGGTCTAATCCATCCCTCGCCCAACCCTTTGACGACATTGCGTTGAAGCTCTTCGATGCCTTTCGATTCCGACACCGTCGTGGCTCGTTTACGCCACAGCTTGTGCCTAGAAACCTGTCTTTGATAACATTTGTTTGTATGTGGTATGCATACTCTTTTTTCTAATGCATGTGTGTACATGTGTATGTATTTATAGTTTTTTGTTTAGTGAATGTAAAGTGATGTCGTTCTTTTGTGAAAAATTGTTTCTTCTCAAGGAATTCAACTCTAACGTTTAATCGCCTAGAGTGATGAATCGCAGATCTGTGATATCATCTCAGGGCAACATACTCAAAGTTTACTAGTATTTTGCGATGGATCGAATTGGTAGGAATTATGTGGTTTGGGCGTATACTTAAAGTGTATATATATATATATATATATATATATATATATGTTTTTTTATTTTTAATATTTGTGTTTTGTTAAATCTACTTTAATCTACTTTTGAAATGAAAGTAGATTAAAGTAAATTAAAGTAGATTAATATATATATATATATATATATATAGACTTTTATTATTCATTTAATCAGATTGAATTATGAATCGAAATGATATCACCAAAAATTATTTTGGAAAAACTTATAATCTGAATAAAATAAGAGCACTGAACTAAAATAAAATTGTTTTACAAAATTTTAATTTTTTGACCCATTTCAATCAAAAATTTCAATAAAATAAGAACATTGAAAATTATCTATACTTTTTTTTGTATTTATAGATTTTGCCTTTTTTTAAAATTTTTTATTACTCAACATACCTTAAGCTTTCTCTAGTATAGTTCTATACATCTACTCTACTACTTCACTATGCTAAGGAATATCAAGATTAGTGAAGTAATAAACTATCCCTACTACTTGAAAAAATTATCAAATTTAACTAATTTATACTTTCTTCTATTATTAGATCTAAGATACTTCAACTTCTTACGACTTTCCTTTTCTATCGTTATTTTTTATAGTTTGAAGATGGAAAATACCTCATATTTTTACTTCATCATATAGATCCATATCTTTATTTAATAACCATCTACAAATAAAAAAAAAATACAATGTTCTTCATCTAGAAGCAATTGATGTAGGTTTCTATACATTGGAATGTCTATATTCTAATTTACCTCCAATTCAATGAATAATAGTGTTGAAATTTACTCCATAATGCTTGCCAAATATACAAAGTTATAAAAGATTAACTTGTGGGATTTTATACCTTTCAAGAATTGATGCTTGTGCAATTCCAAAACTTTTATTTTACTCATGTGATTCAAAAAAACATGCCACAATTAAATAGAACTTGGAATATTATTTTTTTGAGAAGATATAATGATTGATCCACATGTAATAATATTTTCTAGAAGTTCATATAGATTTCCAATTCTCTTGTTCTTCATCACTATTAGAGCTTTCTTAATAACCTTTAAGATTTCTACCTTTGCTAATCACTTACATCCAATCAAATCTGGTGTTCTTAAAGAGATTAGGTTCATCTTTAACTCTAAAATATGTCAACATCAAATAATGTTCTAATGGTTCTATTAAATATCTTGATACACATAGTGCCAATTCCTACAGTCTTGGATGGCATGTCATCTCTCTTAAGTATAATCCCACCTTTATATGGATTGTAAGTATAAAATCATTTTTTCAAAGATATATATGATATGAATAACCAAAATATAAAAATCCATACATTTTAAAATCTGTCTTTTCTAATAGTTATTTCAAAGACGCAATCATATTCTCTATCAAAATCAATAATATTGGATTATTTTAAATATTGATAGGTATTTCTATTCAAATCTTTTTTTATTCTTATATTCTCTTTTTTAGTGTCCTAACTTACCACATTCAAAATGCCTCAGCTTTGAATTTTTCAAATTTTGATTAGAATTTTGATCTAGGTTTGCTTATACTTTTTTTATTATTATTATGCATAGGACTATCTCTCACAAATAGGGCATCTAATTGTGAAGCTTAACTACTAGATCTCTTCCTTGTTTTATTTAATAAGACAGTTGTAGTGACTTCTTTCAATTCAAGGATATTTTTATAATACAAAAGAATAATAACCAGATGCTTAAACAAATAAAGTGATAAAATTAATAGCATTTTTTTTTATTCTCATCTTCTAATTTGATATCAATGCTAATTAATTAATTCATAAAAATTTGTGTTGAAGGTATTTAAGTGATATAAAATATTGATGTATTTTTTTCATTTGCAAGGTATAATATTGTTGATTTAAGTATAGTCAATTCATTAAAGACTTGCTTATGTACAGATTCTTTAGTTTTGTTTATAGTCTAAGGTTTGAACTCTTCTTTATGACATTGTACAGTATCTCATCTATAAGACTTAGAAAAATTATATTCATAGTCATCAAGCTAATCTTTTTTTTATTTATTATTATTTTTATGTACAAGTTTTTTATTTAACGTCTTATGCAATCTTTATTGCACAAAAAAATATTTTATCTTTAGATGCAATAATTAAATATAAATAAATAAATAAAGTCTATCAAATTTTTTTACCTCAAATTTTTTATTTGAAATCTTTGTTCTTTTCTTTAATCTAAGCTTGCAAGATTTATAGAGTCTATAGTAATATAGACAAATTAACTTAGTTTTGTTTAAATTTAAAAATTATACAACCTCTTCATCCAATTGCCTTAAAAAATCAATATAAACCTTGTTGAAATGCTATTAAACCATGTTTACATACTATGGTATATTAAATCAAGACAATTAAATAATTACTCACCTCTATATATTACCGAGCTTCTACAAAGGCCATATCCAACACACAACTAGCTAAGACAACTTTAATATTGTAAGCTCCAATAAATCCTTTGTATTGCACTTGTAACCATCTTTTTTAATGCATATATACTTGTCATTGCTCTAATACAAATTATTAAAATTTATTACAAATGCTTACAAATCAAACAATATGTAATTAAATTAAAAAGACATAAAGATGTAAGTGGTTCATTTTTAAATTGAAGCTATGTCTACTTGAGAATACAGAAAGAATTTGATTTCATTACAAAGAATACATGTTGAGCAGCATAGTAATGTCCATTTGAAGTCTAGATAAAATTTTATGGCTAATCCCAAAGCTTTTCTTAAACAAGTTCTAAATTGAAACCATACCAACTCATGGAGTTTTTGTATTTGCACTTTACTTATATAGATATATATATATATATATATATATATATATAAAAACTAAGAATCTAGTTTTGTCCTCATCTCCTCTCTCTCCTTCTCCTTCCCATTTTTAGAATCTTTTTGCAGAGATTATTAAAAAATTAGTCGACAAAGCCATCTAATGAAATTTTTAATTAAAAAAATTATATCAATAGCTTCTAAGAAGCTTCTTACCATGATATTATCAACTTATCCTACTTTTACATACTTCTATCTAACTCTTCTTGTCATCTTAATTACTAATGTTAATATTGATGTCTATGGCATTATTTCTCTAACTTGGGACAAGTTCTACAAGGAGTAATGATCACATGTTAAAGAAGTTTAAGATGCAATAAATTGTAATTGGTACATATTTTAATCTTTTTTTTCTTTAAAGTTAATAAATAGGTCTTCTCAACCATTGATAATGTTCCATATAAAGATAAAAATACTATTGTATTATTTAATCATTGTTGAGATCTTCATAACTTCTTTTAAATAAAATATTAAGAGTACCATCAACAATGGTTTTCACTTTCAATAATATCATCAAATATCAAGAGATTTTTTTACATTATTCTTATAGGTCTTCATGTCTATTATGTTGTCTTGAAGATTGTCACTATTTCAATAATTTATTCAATAACTTACTAAACAATAGCTCTCAAGTTAAAAAAATTTATTATTGATTTTTTATTACAAATACAAAAATATCAAAAAATAAAGATAAT